CTAAGTTAAAGTATACACATCCGTAGAGGTGCCCCTTGACAAAGGAAATTAGCATAGAATTTAGCATTTAAATAGTTTAGTGATTAGCTAGTAACTGGTCACAGAAATAGCTATGTTAAAGTCAGAGTATATACATTCACCGAGGCACCTAGTACTCATCAAACAGGAGAATTTAGCGAAACACAACCACGCTCAGACATCGGACCTGTGTGCGAGCAGAGAGGTGGTGTACGTGCCGGTGGACTATGGGAACCGGTTCCCTATCTCTTAACATGGAGCCATAGACTTTCTACGGGAACCAGTTCCCTATCTCTTAACATGGAGCCACAGACTTTCTTTGGGAACCGGTTCCCTATATCTTAACATTGAGCTATAGACTTTCTATGGGAACCGGTTCCCTATCTCTTAACATGGAGCCATAGACTTTCTATGGGAACCGGTTCCCTATCTCTTAACATGGGGCCATAGACTTTCTATGGGAACCGGTTCCCTATCTCTTAACATGGAGCCAGACTTTCTATGGGAACCGGTTCCCTATATCTTAATATGGAGCCATAGACTTTCTAAGGGAACCGGTTCCCTATCTCTTAACATGGAGCCATAGACTTTCTATGGGAACCGGTTCCCTATCTCTTAATATGGAGCCATAGACTTTCTATGGGAACCGGTTCCCTATCTCTTAACATGGAGCCATAGACTTTCTATGGGAACCGGTTCCCTATCTCTTAACATGGAGCCATAGACTTTCTATGGGAACCGGTTCCCTATCTCTTAACATGGAGCCATAGACCTTCTATGGGAACCGGTTCCCTATCTCTTAACATGGAACCTTCTTAACACGTAGGCTTTCGCGACCAATATTATTCATAATAAAGGTTTTTGGGTAAGATCGCGTTATTTATAAATGTGTCGTAACTCTCCACCACCCGGCACGGCCAATCAACAAAAAAAGTGTCACGTTGACAAAAGACAAATAATTCACTACTTTAGCCCATCGGTGTGTTGAAGAGTGAATCCACAACATTTACAGTTTGAATACGACGTTTCGCTGGTAATTACATCCAGCATCATCGGGCAATTCGCCAGAATGGTAAAGCCCTCACTTGCTCCCGGCTTTAAATAAAGCAGCAGCAGGGTGACGTCATCATTTAACTCATTCAGGTGCATAATTATATAATCGATTGGTAATCAGTCAATGGTAATGATTAGTAATGAGTTGTAGATTAGTATTTAGTTGTAATGTGTTATTGCGATTGTATGCTACGTTAGTAATCCGTTAATTAGTATGTGTTTCCCCCATAAGGAATTATAATATGTATTATTTAATAATACGCTTCCAAGCCGCACTAAGCCTGTAGCTATCAGAACGATTAAAGTTATTTCTGTTTCTCTCAATTTCAATGGATTCTCTAATTAGTTTTTGCCAGTAATAATTAGTTTCACACAACACTTAAACGTTATCAAAATCAATTGAGTGTCCTTGTTGACAAGCATGTTCTGTCAGATGGTGAGAGTCTAGTGAGAGAGATCAAACACGTTAAAGACGCACTACGACAGAATGGCTACAATAATGCTCAAATTAACAGAGCACTGAATGCCAAATCACGATCGCAAAGCAACACTGCTGAAAGCGATCAGATTGTTAAAACAATAAAAATTCCATATATCTCAGGAGTAACTGACAAATTAGCCCGTGTTTTGCAAAAGCAAAACATTACAGTAAGATTTGGTATAGTACACAAAGTTTAAAAAACTAGTATCTTGCACTAAAGACGCATTACCTAAATTATCAACAGAAGGTGTATATCGGATTGTTTATGTGGCAGATGCTATATTGGACAGACGGGGCGTAACATCAGCATAAGACTAAAAGAACATCAAAGAAATATTAAATTATCTCAAACACAACTGTCGGCATTGGTAGAACATGCTTGTCAACAAGGACACTCAATTGATTTTGATAACGTTGAAGTGTTGTGTAAAACTAATTATTACTGGCAAAGACTAATTAGAGAATCCATTGAAATTGAGAGGAATAGAAATAACTTTAATCGTTCTGATAGCTATAGGCTTAGTGCGGCTTGGAAGCGTACTATTACATAATAAATATTACAATTCCTTATAGGGGAAACATACTAATTAACAGATTATTAATGTAGCATACAATCACAATAACACACATTACAACTAATTACTAATCTACAACTCATTACTAATCATAACCATTGACTGATTATACTCTTTGGTTGTATTTGGTAAAGTCACGTAGGTAAAAAATAAAACAACAAAAATCACGACGTTTCGGCCACAACACAAGTGGCCTTCATCAGGTGTGTTGTGGCCGAAACGTCGTGATTTTTGTTGTTTTATTTTTTACCTACGTGACTTTACCGAATACAACCAAAGAGTACGGATCCTTGCAGTCACGAAAGCTTCAAATCTAGCATTGACTGATTACCAATCTATTATGTAATTACTGCACCTGAAATGAGTTAAGTGATGACGTCACCCTGCTGCTGCTTTATTTAAAACCGGGAGCAAGTGAGGGCTTTACCATTCTGACGAATTGCCCGATGATGCTGGATGTAATTACCAGCGAAACGTCACAGTACTACTCAAACTGTAAATGTTGTGGATTCACTCAACACACCGGTGGGCTAAAGTAGTGAACTATTTTGTCTTTTGTCAACGTGACACTTTTTTGCTGATTGGCCGTGTCGGGTGGTGGAGGGTTACGACACATTTATAAATAACGCGATCTAACCCAAAAACCTTTATTATGGATGGAACCTTCTATGGGAACCGGTTCCCTATCTCTTAACATGGGGCCATAGACCTTCTATGGGAACCGGTTCCCTATCTCTTAACATGGGGCCATAGACTTTCTACGAGAACCGGTTCCCTATCTCTTAACATGGAGCCATAGACCTTCTATGGGAACCGGTTCCCTATCTCTTCACATGGGGCACGTCATGACGCGGACACAATGACGTCATCACGTGCATCCCGCCCGACACAACAACATTCACAACTCCTCTGAATGATAAACTTTTAAATTAAAAAAGGGGTGAGTGGACGCGTGCTCAACGGAACGTCATAAAGAAGAACACTTTATTATTGTTGTTGTGAATTATTAACATGTTATTAACATTAATAACACCGGCTCAGAAACAAATGGGCGCCTTCGTTGTGATGACAATGACAATGAAGACAAAACACTCTCATAGTTGTGGCAGGGCGATTGTGGTGGTGGTGATGGTGGTGATGGTGGTGATGGTGGTGGTGGTGATGATGATGATGGTGGTGGTGATGGTGATGATGATGATGATGGTGGTGATGGTGGTGGTGATGATGATGATGCTGGTGGTGATGATGATGGTGGTGATGATGATGGTGGTGATGGTGGTGTTGATGATGATGGTGGTAGTGATGTTGGTGGTGATGGTGGTGATGGTGGTGGTGATGGTGGTGATGGTGATGATGGTGGTGGTGATGATGGTAGTGATGGTGATGATGATGATGCTGGTGGTGATGATGATGCTGGTGGTGATGGTGATGATGATGATGGTTGTGATGGTGGTGGTGATGATGATGATGATGGTGATGATGATGATGGTGGTGATGGTGGTGATGGTGATGATGATGGTGGTGGTGATGGTGGTGATGGTGGTGATGATGATGGTGGTGGTGATGATGGTAGTGATGGTGATGCTGGTGGTGATGGTGGTGGTGATGGTGGTGGTGGTGATGATGATGCTGGTGGTGGTGATGGTGGTAATGGTGATGATGGTGGTGATGGTGATGATGATGGTGGTGGTGATGGTGGTGTTGATGATGATGGTGGTGGTGATGTTGGTGGTGATGGTGGTGATGGTGGTGGTGATGATGGTGGTGATGGTGGTGATGGTGATGATGGTGGTGGTGATGATGGTGGTGATGGTGGTGATGGTGATGATGGTGGTGGTGATGATGGTAGTGATGGTGATGATGCTGGTGGTGATGATGATGATGCTGGTGGTGATGGTGATGATGATGGTTGTGATGGTGGTGGTGATGATGATGATGGTTGTGATGGTGGTGGTGATGATGATGATGGTGATGATGGTGGTGATGGTGATGATGATGGTGGTGATGGTGATGGTGGTGATGATGATGGTGGTGGTGATGGTGGTGATGGTGATGATGATGGTGGTGATGATGGTAGTGATGGTGATGCTGGTGGTGATGGTGGTGGTGGTGATGATGATGATGGTGGTGGTGATGATGGTGGTGGTGATGATGATGGTGGTGGTGATGATGATGATGGTGGTGATGGTGGTGGTGATGGTGATGCTGGTGGTGGTGATGGTGGTGATGGTGATGGTGGTGATGGTGATGATGATGCTGGTGGTGATGTTGATGCTGGTGGTGATGTTGATGCTGGTGGTGATGATGGTGGTGATGGTGATGATGGTGGTGATGGTGATGATGATGGTGGTGATGGTGATGATGATAGTGGTGATGGTGGTGATGGTGATGATGGTGATGATGATGATGCTGGTGATGATGATGCTGGTGATGATGATGGTGGTGGATGTTCCACGCTGCCGGCAGTTACATTCAGCCACCCCGCGGCGGTTTGGGAGCTTCTCACTGTCACTCGGGCGACGTTGAGGCGACGTTGAGGCGACGTTGGGATGGGTGGGATTGTTGTTGGCGGCGTTGGTGGTCACGGGAGAGCAGCCACCGCACGCCCCTCGCCCCCGGCCCGGCCGCCTTTGTCTCCCCAGTGGCGACTCTCGCACCCCGGCACCACCGCACCGGGGGGGGGGGGGGGGGGCCCGAGGGCCGAGTCGACTTAGGGGAGGGCCCAGGACCGGGCCATGGGGCCGAGAGGAGCTCCTCACGGTCATGGCCCCGTGTCAACGGTGGCTCTCATAGAGGGGGGGGGGAGGGAGGGGAGGGAGGGGAGGGAGGGTGGGGAGCAGGGAGAGGGGGGAGCAAGGAGAGAGGGAGGGGGAGAGGGGGAGAGGGGGAGAGGGGGAGAGGGGGGAGTTGGTGAGAGGTGAGGAGAGAGATGAATGCGGTTGCCCGACAACTCCGCACCGTGTGCTGTCTGTACCAACTCCACACCGCGTGCTGTCCACACCAACTCAGCACCGCGTGCTGTCAGCTCCAACTCAGCGCCTCTCAACGACAGCTCTGCACCGTCAACTCGCCGTGGCGGCGGCGGCGGCGGCGGCGTTCCCGTGGCGCGGGGCGATATCGCCGCTCGCTCCGCGGTTCGAAGTGCGGACGCTCCCCCTCGCGCTCGGGCACGGCGGCCGATGGAAATTCCACGTTCCCGTCGCCGCGGCCCGGTCGCCGTCGTCGAAAGTCGGCGGTCACTTTCGGAAGGGCGCCAACCTGCCGAGGTTGGCCCAGAATGCCGAGGGTTTGCGCTTGAGGGGCGCGGCGGGAGAGGGGGCGACCGTGGACGTGGCGGAGGATGAGGAGGAGGATGAGGAGGATGATGAGGAGGAGGCCGCCGAAGGTGCGGGCGGCGCGGCGCTGCGGGCGGCACAGCGGCGGTGGCGGACGGACTGCGAGTGCGTCAGTCCTGGTGGGGGTGGTGGGGGCGGAGGGAACACAAAGACAAAGGTCCCCCGTGTAGCCTTCAACGGACTGTTGGGGCAAGTGCTGTTAGCGAGCGGAGCGCCGCGGTGGCTAGGAGATGTTGACTACCTCGCCTGGTGCGCAGGAGGTCGTGGGTTCGACCCTGACGCCTGCTGCTGCTGTATATTTGTAATCTGTGTCTCTCTCTCTCATCATCATCATCACGGTGGCAAGGAGAAGTTAACTACCTCGCCTGTTGTGCAGGAGGTCGTGGGTTCGACCCTGATGCCACTGGTTCTTCACGTTCTGCCGTGAAGAACCAGTGGCATCTACATGACATACAGGACAGATTTATTCGTATCTCTGGAAAGTTCCTCAGTCGAATGTTCACAAGGAGAGGAGTCCCTGTATAGTGTAGCGTGTATTGAAGTGCTTAGTGTAGTGTGTGTGTGTGCATGTGTGTGCGTGTGTGCATGTGTGTGTGCGTGTGTGCATGTGTGTGTGCATGTGTGCGTGTGTGCGTGTGTGCGTGTGTGCGTCGCCTCTCCGCCCCGACACGGCCACCGTCAACCCCGACACGGCCACCGTGACCCCACCGTGACCCCACCGTGACCCCACCGTGACCCCACCTCTGGGCTTGCTCCTCTGCACCGTCTTCAGCGCGTCCTCCATCGCCTGGGCTCTCTGCGCGTCGGTCAGCACGAACCCTGGGGGTCAAGTTGGGGGTCAAGTTGGGGATCAAGTTGGGGGTCAAGTTGGGGGTCGAGTTGGGGGTCGAGTTGGGGGTCAAGTTGGGGTACCACGGGGGGTGTTTAAAACCCGCGGATTATTGTGCCACACCACTGCAGTGGCCTAACGAGCTACCCCCGATGACCTCTACATTTCCACACGCGATGACGATGATGACGATAAGCAACTCCGTTGAGCTACAATCTGCGACGGCAGAGCTTCACAACAGGTCACTGGGCCTCGCCTGGTAAAGTATAAAAAATATTGTTTAAATAGTTTAAACGGTGACCCCGTGGTGACCCCAGACGACCCCGCGGTGACCCCGTACCCAGTTCCTTGTCTCCGTCTGCCACGGCGCTGGTCTCGCGCTCGAAGGCGACCAGCCACTGGGCCTTGTCGCTCTCCTTGCGGGCGCTCAGCAGCAGCGGCTCGGAGAGGGCGCCAGCCGAAATACGCAGGGCGTGTCGCACACACACCTGCACGCACACACGCACGCATACACACACACACACGTGTATACACACACACACGTATACACACACACACCTGCACGCACACACGCACGCATACACACACACACACACACGTATACACACACACATCTGCACGCACACACGCACGCATATAGACACACACGTGTACACACACACACGCACGCATATACACACACACGTGTATACACACACACCTACACGCACACACGCATGCATATACACACACACATGTACACACACACGCCTGCACGCACACACGCACGCATATACACACACATGTATACACACACACACACGCATATACACACACATGTATACACACACACACCTACACGCACACACGCACACATATACACACACACCTACATGCACACACGCACACATATACACACACACCTACACGCACACACGCACGCATATACACACACATGTATACACACACACCTACACGCACACACGCACGCATATACACACACACACGTATACACACACCTACACGCACACACGCACGCATATACACACACGTATACACACACGCACACACGCACACACGCACGCATATACACACACGTATACACACACGCACACACGCACGCATATACACACACACATGTATACACACACACCTACACGCACACACGCACGCATATACACACACACTTGTATACACACACACCTACATGCACACGCATATACACACATGTATACACACACCTACACGCACACACGCACGCATATACACACACATATATACACATATACCTACACACACACACGCACGCATATGCACACACACACCTACACGCACACACGCACGCATATACACACACACATACACACACACACCTACACGCACGCATATACACACACACATATATACACACACCTACACGCACACATACACACACACACATGTGTATACACACACACACCTGCACGCACACACGCACGCATATACACACACATGTATACACACACACACCTGCACGCACACACGCATATACACACACATGTATACCCACACACATCTGCACGCATATATACACACATATATACACATATATACACACACACACCTGCACGCACACACGCACGCATATACACACACACGTGTACACACACACACCTGCACACACACACGCACGCATATACACACGTGTATACACACACACACACACTTACACGCACACACGCACGCATATACACACACACATGTACACACACACACACCTGCACGCACACACGCACGCATATACACACACATGTATACACACACACACACCTGCACGCACACACGCACCCATATACACACACATGTATACACACACACCTACACACACGCATATACACACACACATGTATACACACACACCTACACGCACACACGCACACATATACACACACACCTACACGCACACACGCACACATATACACACACACCTACACGCACACACGCACGCATATACACACATGTATACACACACACCTACATGCACACACGCATGCATATACACACACACATGTATACACACACCTACACGCACACACGCACGCATATACACACACACATATATACACACACACCTACATGCACACACGCACGCATATACACACACACATGTACACGCACACACACACCTACACGCACACACGCACGCATATACACACACACACATATACACACACACACACCTACACGCACACACGCACATAAATATACACACACACACACACACACCTGCACGCACACAAGCACGCATATACACACACACACACGCATATACACACACACACATATATACACACACACCTACACGCACACACGCACGCATATACACACACATATATACACACACACACCTACACGCACACACGCACGCATATACACACACGTATACACACACACACACACCTACACGCACACACGCACGCATATACACACACACATATATACACACACACCTACACGCACACACACATATACATACGTACACACAACAACAACAACCGCCATTCGCCACTAAGTGGCGGTGACGTCACCACGACCGACGCTTGTGCCAGGCTAGGTGCACGTTGAAGTGTCGAACGCCCGCTGTTAGGAGGTCACGGGGCAGACCCGGCAGGTGCCACGGGTCGACCGAGATGAGTGGCCGATGCACCACCCGTGCCAACTCTCTGCTCCGCTCGTTGCTGTGAGCGTCGCTCCTCCGCCCTCCCCCCCCCCCCGCTCATGCCGTAGGGCCACTGCCTCCAGCTGCCCAGCAGCCTCAGAGCCTGGCACTCGCCCGGCCGCGTCCTTCGCGAGCCTCTTCCTCCTCATCCTCCTCCTCCTCCACGGAGGCGGGGGGATGGGGGGGGGGCGGCGGGGGGGATGGGGGGGGGGCGGCGTGGGGGGATGGGGGGGGGTGGGGGGCGGGGTGGGGGCTGCGTCTGCGTGCGAGCGCCGAGACCTGGAGCTCCTCGCTCTTGCCGTCCGGGACGTCCTCCACCGCGAGTCCGTCGGTGGGAAAGCGTCCGCGGTAGTGCAGCATGTCCTTCCTCAGCAAGTCCTGCACTCAGCACGCGGGCCCACCGTGTAGCCTGTCACACGCTGCACGCGCTGCGAGGAGCAGCAGCAGCAGCTATGGAGGCAGACACGGACAAAGGTCCCCCGTGTAGCCTCTAGCAGACTGCTGGGGCAAGTGCTGTTAGTAGCGAGTAGCAGCAGCACCTGTGAAGGTAGACACAGACAAAGATCCCCCGTGTAGCCTCTAACAGACTGCAGGGGCAAGTGCTGTTAGTAGCGAGTAGCAGCAGCACCTGTGAAGGTAGACACAGACAAAGATCCCCCGTGTAGCTTTAGCAGACTGCTGGGGCAAGTGCTGTTAGTAGCGAGTAGCAGCAGCACCTGTGAAGGTAGACACAGACAAAGATCCTCCGTGTAGCCTCTAACAGACTGCAGGGGCAAGTGCTGTTAGTAGCGAGTAGCAGCAGCACCTGTGAGGGTAGACCCGTGTAGCCTTAGCAGACTGCTGGGGCAAGTGCTGTTAGTAGCAAGTAGCAGCAGCACCTGTGGAGGTAGACACAGACAAAGATCCCCCGTGTAGCCTCTAACACACTGTAGGGGCAAGTGCTGTTAGTAGCGAGTAGCAGCAGCATCTGTGAAGGTAGACACAGACAAAGATCCCCCATGTGGCCTCTAACAGACTGCAGGGGCAAGTGCTGTTAGTAGCGAGTAGCAGCAGCACCTGTGAAGGTAGACACAGACAAAGATCCCCCGTGTGGCCTCTAACAGACTGTAGGGGCAAGTGCTGTTAGTAGCGAGTAGCAGCAGCACCTATGGAGGTAGACACAGACAAAGATCCCCCGTGTAGCCTCTAACAGACTGTAGGGGCAAGTGCTGTTAGTAGCGAGTAGCAGCAGCACCTGTGAAGGTAGACACAGACAAAGATCCCCCGTGTAGCCTCTAACAGACTGCAGGGGCAAGTGCTGTCAGTAGCGAGTAGCAGCAGCACCTGTGAAGGTAGACACAGACAAAGATCCCCCGTGTAGCCTCTAACACACTGCAGGGGCAAGTGCTGTTAGTAGCGAGTAGCAACAGCACCTGTGAAGGTAGACACAGACAAAGATCCCCCGTGTAGCCTCTAACACACTGTAGGGGCAAGTGCTGTTAGTAGCGAGTAGCAGCAGCACCTGTGAAGGTAGACACAGACAAAGATCCCCCGTGTAGCCTCTAACAGACTGCAGGGGCAAGTGCTGTCAGTAGCGAGTAGCAGCAGCACCTGTGAAGGTAGACACAGACAAAGATCCCCCGTGTAGCTTTAGCAGACTGCTGGGGCAAGTGCTGTTAGTAGCGAGTAGCAGCAGCACCTGTGAAGGTAGACACAGACAAAGATCCTCCGTGTAGCCTCTAACAGACTGCAGGGGCAAGTGCTGTTAGTAGCGAGTAGCAGCAGCACCTGTGAGGGTAGACCCGTGTAGCCTTAGCAGACTGCTGGGGCAAGTGCTGTTAGTAGCAAGTAGCAGCAGCACCTGTGGAGGTAGACACAGACAAAGATCCCCCGTGTAGCCTCTAACACACTGTAGGGGCAAGTGCTGTTAGTAGCGAGTAGCAGCAGCATCTGTGAAGGTAGACACAGACAAAGATCCCCCGTGTGGCCTCTAACAGACTGCAGGGGCAAGTGCTGTTAGTAGCGAGTAGCAGCAGCACCTGTGAAGGTAGACACAGACAAAGATCCCCCGTGTGGCCTCTAACAGACTGTAGGGGCAAGTGCTGTTAGTAGCGAGTAGCAGCAGCACCTATGGAGGTAGACACAGACAAAGATCCCCCGTGTAGCCTCTAACAGACTGTAGGGGCAAGTGCTGTTAGTAGCGAGTAGCAGCAGCACCTGTGAAGGTAGACACAGACAAAGATCCCCCGTGTAGCCTCTAACAGACTGCAGGGGCAAGTGCTGTCAGTAGCGAGTAGCAGCAGCACCTGTGAAGGTAGACACAGACAAAGATCCCCCGTGTAGCCTCTAACACACTGCAGGGGCAAGTGCTGTTAGTAGCGAGTAGCAACAGCACCTGTGAAGGTAGACACAGACAAAGATCCCCCGTGTAGCCTCTAACACACTGTAGGGGCAAGTGCTGTTAGTAGCGAGTAGCAGCAGCACCTGTGAAGGTAGACATAGACAAAGATCCCCCGTGTAGCCTCTAACAGACTGCAGGGGCAAGTGCTGTCAGTAGCGAGTAGCAGCAGCACCTGTGAAGGTAGACACAGACAAAGATCCCCCGTGTAGCCTCTAACAGACTGCAGGGGCAAGTGCTGTCAGTAGCGAGTAGCAGCAGCACCTGTGAAGGTAGACACAGACAAAGATCCCCCGTGTAGCCTCTAACAGACTGCTGGGGCAAGTGCTGTTAGTAGCGAGTAGCAGCAGCACCTGTGAAGGTAGACACAGACAAAGATTCCCCGTGTAGCCTCTAACAGACTGCAGGGGCAAGTGCTGTTAGTAGCAAGTAGCAGCAGCACCTGTGAAGGTAGACACAGACAAAGATCCCCCGTGTAGCCTCTAACACACTGTAGGGGCAAGTGCTGTTAGTAGCGAGTAGCAGCAGCACATGTGAAGGTAGACACAGACAAAGATCCCCCGTGTAGCCTCTAACATACTGCAGGGGCAAGTGCTGTTAGTAGCGAGTAGCAGCAGCACCTGTGAAGGTAGACACAGACAAAGATCCCCCGTGTAGCCTCTAACAGACTGCAGGGGCGAGTGCTGTTAGCGAGCAGCACCTATGAAGGCCATCACGGCACATGATGGAGTGGGTGAGTGAGTGAATGAGTGTGTAAGTGGGTAAATGAGTGAGTGGGTGAATGAGTGAGTGGGTGAAATGAGTGGGTGAAAGAGTGAGTGGGTGAAAGAGTGAGTGGGTGAATGAGTGGGTGAATGAGGGAGTGGGTGAGGGAGTGAGTGAGTGAGTGGGTGAATGAGTGGGTGAATGAGTGGGTGAATGAGGGAGTAGGTGAGTGAGTGGGTGAGTGAGTGGGTGAGTGAATGGGTAAATGAGTGGGTGAATGAGTGGGTGAATTAGTGGGTGAATGAGGGAGTGGGTGAGGGAGTGGGTGAGTGAGTGGGTGAGTGAGTGGGTAAATGAGTGGGTGAATGAGTGGGTGGGTGAGTGGGTGAATGGGTGAATGAGTGGGTGAATGAGGGAGTGGGTGGGTGAGTGAGTGGGTGAATGTGTGGGTGAATGAGTGGGTGAATGAGTGGGTGAATGAGGGAGTGGGTGAGGGAGTGGGTGAGTGAGTGGGTGAGTGAGTAAATGAGTGAACGAGTGGTTGAGTGAGTGGGAGAACGAGTGAGTGGACGAGTGAGTGGACGAGTTTGAGTGTTTCAGCTCACTGTGTATGAGTGAGTCACCTGTGGACAGCAGCTATGAGCAAATCAGTTTGTTTGGTATAAATCCGCCACTGCGGACAGCTTCAATGCCGTTAGCTGTCGGGGTCACCCCTTTAAAATAAAAAAAAATTGCTTCACCGCTCAATCAGCCTCAATTCAAACTTTCTGAACCTTCGATTCGGATCCTAGATTTGAAGCTTTCGTGACTACAAGGATCCATACTCTTTGGTTCTATTCGGTAAAGTCACCACGCAGGTAAAAAATTAAAACAACAAAAATCACGACGTTTCGGCCACAACACAGGCGGCCTTCATCAGGTGAAGGGACCAGACTGCCTAGAGGACAGTTCACTCCGGCGCTGTCCTCTGGACAGTCCGGTCCCTTCACCTGATGAAGGGACCGGACTGCCTAGAGGACAGTTCACTCCGGCGCTGTCCTCTGGACAGTCCGGTCCCTTCACCTGATGAAGGGACCGGACTGTCTAGAGGACAGTTCACTCCGGCGCTGTCCTCTGGACAGTCCGGTCCCTTCACCTGATGAAGGCCGCTTGTGCTGTGGCCGAAACGTCGTGATTTTTGTCGCTTTAATTTTTTTTACCTACGTGGTGACTTCACCGAATAGAACCAAAGAGCACGCTTCGATTCGGACTTTGCCGGCGTGATCCTCCCCGGCTGCCGCCGCGTTGCCGCGTTGCCGCGTTGCCGGGGAGTGCCGGGGAGGGTCAGCGCGGGGCGCACCTTCTTGCAGTACACGAGCTGGTGGTCGAAGAGAAAGAAAACGCGGAGCTGGGGCCTGGGCCGGGATGCGGACTGCATCACCAACTCCCCGGAGTGGATCAGCAACGAGCTCCGCTCCAGCACGTCCGTGCCCTGGGGGAGGGGAGACGCGGGGAGACACGGCCAGATGAGCAGGGAGACACAAGGGAGACGCGGGGAGACGCGGGGAGACACGGGGAGACACAGGGAGACACAAGGGAGACACGGGGAGGGGAGACACAGGGAGACACAAGGGAGACACGGGAAGACACAAGGGAGACGCGGGGAGACGCGGGGAGACACGGGGAGGGGAGGGGAGACACGGCCAGATGAGCAGGGAGACACAAGGGAGACGCGGGGAGACACGGGGAGACACGAGGAGATACGGGGAGGGGAGGGGAGACACGGGGAGACACGAGGATATACGGGGAGGGGAGGGGAGACACAAAGGAGACACGGGGAGACACGGGGAGGGGAGCGGAGACACAGGGAGACGCGGGGAGACATGGCCAGATGAACAGGGAGACACAAGGGAGACACAAGGGAGACACGGGGAGACACGGGGAGACACGGGGAGACACGAGGAGATACGGGGAGGGGAGGGGAGACACAAGGGAGACACGGGGAGACACGGGGAGGGGAGCGGAGACACAAGGGAGACGCGGGGAGACACGGGGAGACACGGGGAGGGGAGAGGAGATGCGGGGAGACACAAGGGAGACGCGGGGAGACACGAGGAGATACGGGGAGGGGAGACACAGGGAGACACAAGGGAGACACGGGGAGACACGAGGAGGGGAGGGGAGACACAGGGAGACACAAGGGAGACACAAGGGAGACACGGGGAGGAGACGGGAGAAACGGGGAGACACGGCCAGATGAACAGGGAGACACAAGGAAGACACGGGGAGACACGGGGAGGGGAGAAACGGGGAGATACAGGGAGACGTGGGGAGATCAACAGGGAGATACAGGGAGACACAAGGGAGACGCGGGGAGACACGGGGAGGGGAGGGGAGAAACGGGGAGATACAGGGAGACGTGGGGAGATAAACAGGGAGACACAAGGGAGACACGGGGAGACACGGGGAGACACGGGGAGGAGAGGGGAGACACGGGGAGGGGAGACACGGGGAGACACGGGGAGATAAACAGGGAGACACGGGGAGGGGAGACATGGGGAGACACCGGGAGGGGAGGGGAGACACGGCGAGAGAGAAGGGGAGACATCAGAGTCATGTGACCCCCTCCAAAGCAACCAATTCTGACAGCCGCCCCCCTTTCGGCAGTCACGTGACCCCCTCAAGCGCCGCCCCCCCGTCCCCCCGGGTGGGGGTGCGAGTCACGTGACGGGCGACCCCGCCCCCCCGCACCTGCCACTCAACGATGCCCCTCTGCCAGCCAGCGATGTGCTCGATGCTCTCCAAGCGCCGCTTGCGCTCGTTGATGAGGAGCGCGACGCCCCTCATGGCCTCCAGCGCGGCGGCCACGCTCACAAAGTCGCTGGCGACGCGCGGCGGTGGGGGGGGGGGTGGTGGGGGGTGGTGGGGGGAGTGGGGGGGGGTGGGGGGGGGTGGGGGGGGGGGTCGAGAGAGAGCGACCGTGAGAGGGACGGTCACGGAACGACGCTCACGTCGACTCCCGCGCGGACGCATGCGTGTGAGTGTGAGCGTGAGCATGTGTGTGTGTGTGTGAGTGTGTGTGTGTGAGTGTGAGCATGTGTGTGTGCGTGTGAGTGTGTGAGTGTGTGCGTGTGAGTGTGAGCATGTGTGTGTGCGCGTGCGTGTGTGTGTGTGTGTGAGTGTGTGCGTGTGAGTGTGTGTGTGAGTGTGTGAGTGTGAGCGTGTGAGTGTGAGCGTGTGTGTGTGTGAGTGTGAGCGTGTGTGTGTGTGTGTGAGCGTGTGCGTGTGAGTGTGAGCGTGTGCGTGTGAGTGTGAGCGAGCGTGTGCGTGTGAGTGTGAGCGTGTGTGTGTGTGTGTGAGCGTGTGTGTGTGTGTGTGAGTGTGAGCGTGTGCGTGTGCGCATGTGTGTGAGTGTGAGCGTGTGCGTGCGTGTGTGAGTGTGTCTGCGTGTCTGGGTGCGTGCGCCACCCACGCTAGCACCACCCCCTCCCCCACCCCGCCCCCGGCGCTAGTCACCCGTGCTCCGGCGGCGTGTACTTGAGCAGCTCAGCGAGCTGCAGGGGGTACTTGCAGATCTTCTGCACGGGCGCCAGCAGGAAGCCGCCCAGGGCGATGTGGATCATCCCACGCAGCAGGCGGCACGCCTCGAAGAAGTGGCCGTAGCGGCCCAGCTGGGCGAGTCTCGCCAACTCGGCGCACGCCCGCGGGTGGTTGTTGCAGTACGCGGAGTAGACGCGGAATCCCTCTCGCTGGCATGCACGGCGGAGACCGCCGGTTGGCACCACAGCCACACACGCACACACACACATACACACATATACACCCACACATACACACACACACACACATATACACACACACATACACACACATACACCCACACATACACACCTACACATACATACACATACACACACATACACCCACACATACACACACATACACCCACACACATACACACACAGCCACACACACACAGCCACACACATACATACACCCACACACACACGCGCACACACACACAGCCACAACAACAACAACAACCGCCATTCGCCACTAAGTGGCGGTGACGTCACCACGACGCTTGTGCCAGGCTATGTGCACCCTGAGGCCACGTGAAGTGTCGAACACCCGCTGGCAGGAGGTCACGGGGCAGACCCAGGTGCCACGGGTCGACTGACTGAGATGACTGGCTGATGCACCACCTGTGCCCCCTACTGTGCCAACCTGCTGTGCTTTAGCCACCCGGCGCTCCGCTCGTTGTTGTGAGCGTCGCTCCTCCGCCCTCCGTTGTTGTTGGAGGGCGACTGCCTCCAACTGCCCAGTAGCATCCTTCACGAGCCTCCTCCACAGAGGCCGATCTTGACACCGCTGGTACCAGTCATCGGCAAGTCCACTCAGCTCCACGTCCTCCCGTACCACATCACTCCATCTCTTCTCTAGCCCGTGCCGCGCCCGCTTAGCCCCCTCAATCCGGCCAAACAAAAGCTGTTTCGGCATGCGGTGGCTGGGCATGCGGGCTACATGACCCAGCCATCGCAGCCTTGCCTGCCGGAGGAGCTCACCGATGGGACCTTGCCCAGATCTTTCAAGGATTTGTGAGCTCCTCACACAATCCAGTCTGGTTAAACCCAGGATGGATCGTAGGCAGGCCAGCCTAAATGTTTCTAACCGGCGAAGATGTTCCATTAGGGGGGTCCACGTTTCGCAAGCGTAGAGAAGGGAGGGAATGACCGTGGCCGAGAAGACCTGAAGCTTAGTGCGGAGCGACAGACCAGGTAGCTTCCACACAGCGTTACGCAACCGATGAAAAGATATTGCCGCTCGACTGATTCGGAGTGAGACCTCTGCTGTTAAACTGGAGCCGGTCATAAGCACACTGCCCAGGTAAAGGAAACTCTCCACTTGCTCCACAACTGCCCCATCACCGATTGGGAGTTGTGGGGGTGGAGTGTCCGATGGTACAAAATACCCAGGCAGGTGCTTAGTTTTGGTGGGGCTGATGGTAAGGCCCCATCTCTTAGTGGCATGCTCCAGTCTCAGCAGGAGCGTCTCCAACTCCTCCTCTGAATGAGCAGCTATTACCAAATCATCAGCATACATAACGTGGTTGACCAATAGGGAGCCATTCCTTGACCGCACCCGGGCATCGATCAGCCTCCCATTATATCTGTACCATATGGAGATTCCTCCGGTACAGCTATTGAAGGCTTCACGAACTACGTGGTCAAAATAGATATTAAATAATGTGGGAGCCAGAGGACATCCCTGTCGCACCCCAAGGTGTACAGGGAATGGCTTTGACTCCCGGCCACGTAGATTTACCCGGGCCCGCTCACCATCATGAAGGTCCTTAATGATCGTGAGCAGAGGGTCAGGGACTCCAAAAGCACGAAGAACAACCCAGAGCCCAGGCCTACTGATGGTATCATAGGCTTTGACACACCCACACACCCACACACACACATACCACAACACACATACGCACCACAACAAAGACTGTAGGGGCAAGTGCTGTCAGCAAGTATCACCGACTGTATGAAGGCCGGAACGGCACACGAGGGGGCGGGTGGCCAGCACCACGCCCGGCCGCCTTTGTCTCTCCCCAGTGGCGATGTTCACTACACACCGCTGCACCAGGTACGCATTTGAGGCTGAGCCGACCTAGGGGAGGCCCAGGACCGGTTCAGAAAATCGCGTGCCGCGTGCTCACGTGCTGCAGGAAGACGGCGCCGACGCAGGTGTTGTGCGGCGAGGTCGCCACGAAGCGTCGCCGGAGCGCGCCGAGGAAGCGCGCCTGGAAGGCGACGATCTGCTCCACGTTGCCGAAGATGAGGCCCAGCTGCTCCGCGGTGAACAAGTCCGGCCGGCGGCGGCACTGCAGCAGGTAGCCCTGGCCAGGGGACACGCACGCGGTGGCGGTGACGGGGGCGGTGGCGGCGGCGGTGACGGCGACGGTGGCGGTGGCGGTGACGGTGGCGGTGGCGGTGACGGTGGCGGTGGCGGTGACGGTGGTGGTGACGGTGATGGTGACGGTGATGGTGACGGTGGCGGTGACGGTGGCGGTGACGGTGACGGTGACAATGATGGTGACAATGATGGTGACAATGATGGTGACAATGATGGTGACGGTGATGGTGGCGGTGGCGGTGGCGGTGACGGTGACGGTGGCTGTGGCGGTGACGTTGACGGTGACAATGATGGTGGCGGTGATGGTGGCGGTGGCGGTGACAATGATGGTGGCGGTGGCGGTGGCGGTGATGGCGACGATGATGGTGATGTCACCGTCATCGTCACCGTCATCATCGCCATCATCGCCATCGTCGCCATCATCGCCATCATCGCCATCGTCGTCATCAAGGTCGCCTCCACGTGCGTCCTCACCTCACAGATGTCGCCCAGCTGAGCGAGGTAGTGCTTCTCCGTGTCGAAGATCTCACGCACCACCCTCGACCTCATCTCGTCGGCGTGCGGCGTCGACGAGGACGAGGCGGAGGCAGAGGAGGTGGAGGAGGAGGTGGGGGGGAGATGCGGGGAGGCTGCCGACGCTCCGCTCGCGGCGCCCGGCAGCGGCGGTGGCGGCGGTCCAAGGGGAGGTGCCGGCCCCTCCCCCTCCTCCTCCTCTTGGTTCACGCGGAGCTGGGGGGCACGGGGGTTGAGTGGGGGGCACGGGGGGGGGTGGCAAGTGAGCGAGTGGGAGAGCGAGCGAGGGAGCGTGTGGGCGTGAGAGCGATTGAGTGAGGGAGCGAGTGAGCGATCAAGCGTATGAGAGAACATGCGAGTCAGAGAGTGAGTGAGCGAACGATTGAGCGAGCGAACGAGTGAGCATGCGAGTGAGTGAGCGAGTGAGTGAGCGAGTGAGCAAATGAGAGAACATGTGAGTCAGAGAGTGGGTGAGCGAACGAGTGACCGAGCGAACGAGTGAGTGAGAGAACGAATGAGCGATCAAGTGTATGAGTGAGCGAGTGAGTGAGCGATCAAGTGTATGAGTGAACAAGCGAGTGAGCAATCAAGCGCATGAGTGAGCGAGCGAGTGAGCGATCAAGCAAATGAGAGAACATGCGAGTGAGCGAGTGAGTGAGCGAGCGAGTGAGCGAGCGAGTGAGCGAACGAGTGAGTGAACATGCGAGTGAGTGAGCGAGTGAGCGATCAAGCGTATGAGTGAACGAGCGAGTGAGCGATCAAGCGTATGAGTGAACGAGCGAGTGAGCGATCAAGCAAATGAGAGAACATGCGAGTCGGAGAGTGAGTGAGCGAACGAGTGAGTGAGCATGCGAGTGAGCGAGCGAGCGAATAAGTGGTTGAACGAGGGATCGAGCGAGGGGCAGGCGAGCGGTGTGCACGCCCCTCCCCGGGCGCCTCACCCGCAGGAAGGCCGCCGGCACCCAGCCAAGGCGGCCGTCGCGCGCCCGGCACCACCACCACCACCAGCCGCCCCCCACCGCACCGCCACCACCGCCTCCTCCCACGCCGGGCGCCTCCAGCACCTCCACCTCCTCTCCGGCGGAGAGCGCCAACTCATCGTGGCGCAGCGACACACGGTCCCACAGCGACTCGGCACGCACCGCCACACCCTCCGCCAACAGCTGGCGCACACACACATGTACACACACACACATGTACACACGCACAACAACAACAACAACAATCGCCATTCGCCACTAAGTGGCGGTGACGTCACCACGACGCTTGTGCCAGGCTATGTGCACCTTGAGGCCACGTGAAGTGCCGAACGCCCGCTGGCAGGAGGTCACGGGGCAGACCCAGGTGCCACGGGTCGACTGACTGAGATGACTGGCTGATGCACCACCTGTGCCCCCTACTGTGCCAACCTGCTGTGCTTTAGCCACCTGGCGCTCCGCTCGTTGTTGTGAGCGTCGCTCCTCCGCCCTCCGTTGTTGTTGGAGGGCGACTGCCTCCAACTGCCCAGTAGCGTCCTTCACGAGCCTCCTCCACAGAGGCCGATCTTGACACCGCTGGTACCAGTCATCGGCAAGTCCACTCAGCTCCACGTCCTCCTGTACCACATCACTCCATCTCTTCTCTAGCCTGTGCTGCGCCCATTTAGCCCCCTCTATCTGGCCAAACAAAAGCTGTTTAGGAATGCGGTGGCTGGGCATGCGGGCTACATGACCCAGCCACCGCAGCCTTGCCTGCCGGAGGAGCTCACCGATGGGACCTTGCCCAGATCTTTCAAGGATTTGTGAGCTCCTCACACAATCCAGCCTGGTTAAACCAAGGATGGATTGTAGGCAGGCCAGCCTAAATGTTTCTAACCGGCGAGGATGTTCCATTAGGGGGGGTCCACGTTTCGCAAGCGTAGAGAAGGGAGGGAATGACAATGGCCGAGAAGACCTGAAGCTTCATGCGGAGCGACAGACCAGGTAGCTTCCACACAGCATTACGCAACTGATGAAAAGATAATGCCGCTCGACTGATTCAGAGTGAGACCTCTGCTGTTAAACTGGAGCCGGTCATGACCACACTGCCCAGGTATGGGAAACTCTCCACTCTCTCCACAACTGCCCTATCACCAATTGGGAGTTGTGGGGGTGGAGTATCTGATAGATCAAAATACCCACGCAGGTGCTTAGTTTTGGTGGGGCTGATGGTAAGTCCCCACTTCTTAGTGGCCAGCTCCAGGTTCAGCAGCAGCGCCTCCAACTCCGCCTCTGAGTGAGCAGCAATTACCACATCGGCATACATAACGTGGTTGACCAATAGGGAGCCATCCCTTGACCGCACCCGGGCATCAATCAGCCTCCCATTGTTTCTGCACCAGATGGAAATTCCACCGGTACAGCCATCGGAGGCTTCACGAACTACGTGGTCGAAATTTTTTTTAAATAATGTGGGAGCCAGAGGACATCCCTGTCGCACTCCAAGGTGAACAGGGAATGGCTCCAACTCCTGGCCACGTAGTTTTACCCGGGCCTGCTCACCATCATGAAAGTTCTTAATGATTGTGAGCAGAGGGTCAGGGACTCCGAAAGCACGAAGAACAACCCAGAGCCCAGGCCTACTGATGGTATCATAGGCCTTGACCAGGTCAATAGAGCAGAGATGTAGATTTTGTTGGAATTCCCTACACCTCTGCTGTAGCAGACGGACAGAAAATATGGCATCTGTGCAGGACCGCCCTTTCCTGAAACCGCATTGGGGCTCCGCAAGCCTCTCCTCAGCTTGCCTGCCAAGGCGATGTTGAATAATCCTTGCCAGGACCTGTCCCGGCACACTGATGAGTGAGATGCCCCTGTAGTTGTTACAGTCTGTGCGGTCCCCCTTCTTTAAGAGGGGGACCACCAGCGCATCCTTCCAATCCTGCGGAACCCGTCCAGCGGTCCAGACTGTTGTTGTGATGTCATGTAGGGCAGTCTGTGCACAAACGCCACCCTCCCTCAGCATTTCACCTGGGAGATCATCTCTGCCCGGTGCCTTTCCTGGTCTCAGACTCCGGATCACCTTCAGTACTTCCTCAACAGATGGCACCTCAGCCAGCCACTCACAGGGGGTGACTTCTTCTTCCAATATTTGAGGCACCGCAGCCTCAGCAGGGTCATCCCCACTTTGTCCCAAGATGTTTTCCAGGCTGAGGGATTTCCCCTCCCCCAGGACCTCACAGAAATGCTCAGCAAATCTGCAAACCTGTTCCTGGGGGTCGGAGATTGGATCACCGTTCTTTCCCCTCATAATGGTAATAGGTGTGGCACTACAAGTTACTTTTTTGATGGAGTTAAAGAGCGATATGTGATCGCGGGCCATTGAGGCAGATTCCATCTCCTCAGCAACCCGCGACCACCACCCATCCTTGCAATGCCTCACGGCTCTTCGTACCTCCGAGCGAAGGCTGCGGTAAGCCTCCTCATTCTCTGACATGGGATTCTGCAGACGATGAGAGTGGGCCTGCCACTTTTTCTCAACCAGGCTGAACACCTCCTCTGTCAGCCAGGGTGTCTGGAGAGGTCTGGACCGTGTACCCAAAGCAGCCATTGCAGCTGCATGAGCCAGTCCTAAACCTCGCCCATTTCCCTTCAACATCAGGAGGAGTGGAGGACGATACTAACCCCAGCCACAAGTGATGATGAAATTCTCGCTTGCAACTTTCACCAGCTGAGACCATGCCACTGTGGGTTTGAATATGCTCCTGGGTGTACACCCACCACCAGAGTGGAAGCATGGCAGGCACATCTTACAGATGACAAGTCGATGGTCAGTGGGCAGATCAGCTCCACGGTAGGTCCTGGTGTCAAGGACTTGGGCCCGCATCCGCTGGTCCGTCACTATGTAGTCCAGCAGATGTTCTTGCTTGGACCCGGCATGCATCCATGATGTTGCGTGGATGCACCGATGCCGGAACAGCGTGTTGGTAATTACAAGCCCATGGGCTGCACAAAAGTCTAGCAGCCTCCTACCGATGTTATTCAGCTGATCTGGCCCATGCCTTCCAATCACTCCAGACGAGGTGCCAGTATCATATGATCAACTCGGGCATTGAAGTCACCCAACAAGATAACTCTATCCCGAGAAGCCACTTTAGCCAGCACCTGTGACAGGAGGTCATAGAAGGCATCTGACTCATCGGCTTTGCCTGCATCCCTCCACGGATGTTCATCTTCAGTTGGTTGATGGGAAAGCGAGCCTACAGTAGCCTGGGGATTGCAGCTTCCCACACCTCACCGCCACGCTCCCATGCCTCCTTCATTCTTTTGTTCAGAAGAAGAGCCACTCCCTGTTGTTTGGTAGTCTCCTGCCCCGAGTAGAGGACTGTCCACCCCTCATGGCGGCAGGAGCCAGAGCCAGTCCACCAGACCTCCTGAATGCCACAGAGATCCTGGCGGTACCGATCCAGCTCCCGACAGAGGAGTGGCAGCCTCTCCTCCTCAGTGAGCGTTCGAACATTCCACGTGGCCACCCGTAGTGGTTTTTCGTTGGAGGAGCCCCGAGGGTAAAGATTCAGTCACCTGCCTCCGCCAAATGGGGTTTGGCCAGGAGACGTCATAGATGCCTGCCCCCCAGGGCCTCTGGCACAAGCTTAATTAGATATTTTGCACATGGTATCGTGGTAATTAATTGAAGTTGGAGGGGTTACCTCGCACCCATCCAGAGCCCCCTTGGGCCGCTGTGGTGGCTACAAACGCCATGAGGGGAATGGTCAATCTCAGTTGGCCCTCCCCCCACGGCACAGCCCACCGCAGCGTTGCCATCCGGCACCGACGAGGTAGGGGGTTGTTTAGCTGCAAACACACACGCACACATGCACACACACACATGCACACACACACTCGCACACATGCACACACACGCACACATGCACACACACATGCACACACATGCACACACACACACACATGCACACACATGCACCTATGAAGGCTGTAACGGTACACGAGGGGGTGGGTGGCCAGCACCACGCCCGACCGCCTTTGTCTCCCTAGTGGCGATGTTTACACACCGCACCAGGTACTCATTTGAGGCTGAGTCGACCTAGGGGAGGCCCGGGAACGGTTCAGATAATCGTCACTGGTGTTGGCCGTGAGCGGGAATCGAACCCGGGTCGCCAGGTTCATAGCGCAGCGCGCTAACCGCTACACTATCGCTCCCCACAATGCACACACGCACACACACATGCACACACACACTCGCACACTTGCACACACACGCACACATGCACACACACACGCACACACACATGCACCACACACACATGCATACACACGTGCACACACACGTGCACACACACACGCACCCTGTCTCCCCCCCCCCACCCGGATCTCCCCCCGAGTCTCACCCCTTCCTCCCCGTGCCATCGCCTCACCACCCGTCACCTCCCCTCACCTTGCTCACCACCATCTGCTCCCCTCCTCCCGCGCCTGGGACACTGAAGTGGAAGGGGGGCCCCCGCGCTGCGTGCCCCCCACTCCGCACGGCCGCGATCGCATCCAACTCCTCCTCCTCCTCGTCGTCATCATCGTCATCTTCATCGTCATCATCATCGTCGTCGTCATGGTGGTGGTCGTGGTGGGTGGGAGAGCTGTCAGCCAGAACTGTGGAAAAAGAGGAGCAGGGTCAGGGTCAGGGTGAGGGTCAGGGTGAGGGTCAGGATGAGGGTCAGGGTCAGGGTGAGGGTGAGGGTTAGAGACAAGGTGAGGGTCAGGGTGAGGGTGAGGGTCAGGGTGAGGGTTAGAGACAGGGTGAGGGTCAGGGTGAGGGTCAGGGTGAGGGTTAAAGTCAGGGTCAGTGTCAGGGTGAGGGTCAGGGTGAGGGTCAGGGTGAGGGTTAGAGACAGGGTGAGGGACAGGGTGAGGGACAGGGTTAGGGTGAGGGTCAGGGTGAGGGACAGGGTGAGTGTTAGAGACACGGTGAGGGTGAGAGACAGGGTGAGGGACAGGGTGAGGGTGAGAGACAGAGGGAGGGTGAGGGTCAGGGTGAGGGACAGGGTGAGGGTGAGGGACAGGGTGAGGGACAGGGTTAGAGACACGGTGAGGGACAGGGTGAGGGACAGGGTGAGGGTGAGGGACAGGGTGAGAGACAGGGTGAGGGTCAGGGACAGGGTGAGGGTCAGGGTGAGGGACAGGGTGAGGGTGAGAGACAGGGTGAGGGTCAGGGTGAGGGACAGGGTGAGAGACAGGGTGAGAGACAGGGTGAGGGACAGGGTGAGGGTGAGAGACAGGTTGAGGGTTAGAGACACGGTGAGGGTGAGAGACAGGGTGAGGGTGAGGGACAGGGTGAGGGTGAGAGGCAGGGTGAGGGACAGGGTGAGGGTGAGAGATAGGCTGAGGGTGAGAGACAGGGTGAGAGACAGGGTGAGAGACAGGGTGATAGTGAGAGACAGGGTGAGGGACAGGGTGAGGGTGAGACACAGGGTGAGGGTGAGAGACAGGGTGAGGGACAGGGTGATAGTGAGAGACAGGGTGAGGGACAGGGTGAGGGTGAGAGACAGGGTGAGGGTGAGAGACAGGGTGAGAGACAGGGTGATAGTGAGAGACAGGGTTAGAGACAGGGTGATAGTGAGAGACAGGGTTAGAGACAGGGTGAGGGTGAGGGACAGGGTGAGAGACAGGGTGAGGGTCAGGGTGAGGGACAGGGTGAGGGACAAGGTGATAGTGAGAGACAGGGTGAGAGACAGGGTGAGGGTGAGGGACAGGGTGAGGGTGAGAGACAGGGTGAGAGACAGGGTGATAGTGAGAGACAGGGTTAGAGACAGGGTGAGAGACAGGGTGAGGGTTAAAGTCAGGGTCAGTGTCAGGGTGAGGGTCAGGGTGAGGGTCAGGGTGAGGGTTAGAGACAGGGTGAGGGACAGGGTGAGGGACAGGGTTAGGGTGAGGGTGAGGGTCAGGGTGAGGGACAGGGTGAGTGTTAGAGACACGGTGAGGGTGAGAGACAGGGTGAGGGACAGGGTGAGGGTGAGAGACAGGGTGAGGGTCAGGGTGAGGGACAGGGTGAGGGTGAGGGTGAGGGTCAGGGTGAGGGACAGGGTGAGTGTTAGAGACACGGTGAGGGTGAGAGACAGGGTGAGGGACAGGGTGAGGGTGAGAGACAGGGTGAGGGTCAGGGTGAGGGACAGGGTGAGGGTGAGGGACAGGGTGAGGGACAGGGTTAGAGACACGGTGAGGGACAGGGTGAGGGACAGGGTGAGGGTGAGGGACAGGGTGAGAGACAGGGAGAGGGTCAGGGACAGGGTGAGGGTGAGAGACAGGGTGAGAGACAGGGTGAGAGACAGGGTGAGGGTGAGAGACAGTGTGAGGGTGAGAGACAGGGTGAGGGACAGGGTGAGGGTGAGAGACAGGGTGAGGGACAGGGTGAGGGACAGGGTGAGGGACAGGGACAGGGTGAGAGACAGGGTGAGAGACAGGGTGATAGTGAGAGACAGGGTGATAGTGAGAGACAGGGTGATAGTGAGAGACAGGATGAGGGACAGGGTGAGAGACAGGGACAGGGTGAGAGACAGGGTGAGAGACAGGGTGATAGTGAGAGACAGGGTGATAGTGAGATACAGGGTGAGGGACAGGGTGAGAGACAGGGTGATAGTGAGAGACAGGGACAGGGTGAGAGACAGGGTGAGAGACAGGGTGAGGGTGAGGGTCAGGGTGAGGGTCAGGGACGGGGTCAGGGTTAGAGTCCCCCCCCCTACGAAATCAACTACCCCTGGGTACCATGGCAACCCAGGGATGAATGTGTGTCAGTGTGTGTGTGTCTGTGTGTGTGTGTCAGTGTGTGTGTCAGTGTATCAGTGTGTGTGTGCCTATGATCCATCCTGGGTTTAACTAGGCCGGATTGTGTGAGGAGCTCACAAATCCTTGAAAGATCTGGGCAAGGTCCCATTGGTGAGCTCCTCCGGCAGGCAAGGCTGCGTTGGCTGGGTTATGTAGCCCGCATGCCCAGCCACCGCATGCCGAAACAGCTTTTGTTCGGCCGGATTGAGGGGGCTAAGCTGGCGTGGCACGGGCTAGAGAAGAGATGGAGTGATGTGGTACAGGAGGACGTGGAGCTGAGTGGACTTGCCGATGACTGGTACCAGCGGTGTCAAGATTGGTCTCTGTGGAGGAGGCTCGTGAAGGACGCTACTGGGCAGTTGGAGGTAGTCGCCCTCCAACAACAACGGAGGGCGGAGGAGCGACGCTCACAACAACGAGCGGAGCGCCGGGTGGCTAAAGCACAGCAGGTTGGCACAGTAGGGGGCACAGGTGGTGCACCAGCCAGTCATCTCAGTCAGTCGACCCGTGGCACCTGGGTCTGCCCCGTGACCTCCTGCCAGCGGGTGTTCGACACTTCACGTGGCCTCAGGGTGCACATGTCCTGGCACAAGCGTCGTGGTGACGTCACCGCCACTTAGTGGCGAATGGCGGTTGTTGTTGTTGAGTGTGTCAGTGTGTGTGTGTCAGTGTGTGTGTGTCGGCGTGTGTCAGTGTATCAATGCGTGTGTCAGCGTGTGTGTGTGTGTGGGGAACGGTAGTGTAGTGGTTAGCGCTACGCTGCACACTAGAACCCGGTCACCCGAGTTCGATTCCTGCTCACGGCCAACACCAGCGGTGACGATTATCTGAGCCGGTCCCGGGCCTCCCCTAGGTCGACTCAGCCTCAAATGAGTAACTGATGCGGTGTGTAGTAAACATCGCCACTGGGGAGACAAAGGCGGTTGGGCGTGGTGCTGGCCACCCATCCCCTCGTGTGCCGTGCCGGCCTTCATAGGTGTTGCTCGCTAACAGCACTTGCCCCTACAGTCTGTTACAGGCTATACGGGGGATCTTTGTCTTTGTGTACACGCATGTGTACAGATGTGTGTGGTGTACACTTGTACCCTGTGTGTACACGTGTGTGTGTACACGTGTGTGTGTGTACACGTGTGTACACGTGTGTGTGTACAGGTGTGTGTGTACACGGGTGTATAGGTGTGTACAGATGTGTGTGTAGGTGTACAGGTGTGTGTGTATAGGTGTGTACAGGTGTGTACAGTGTGTGTGTACAAGTGTGTGTGTACAGCTGTGTACAGGTGTGTACAGGTGTGTATAGGTGTGTGTGTGTACAAGTGTGTGTGGGTCATGTAGCCCGCATGCCCAGCCACCGCATGCCGAAACAGCTTTTGTTCGGCTGGATCGAGGGGATTGAACGGGCGCGGCACGGGCTAGAGAAGAGATGGAGTGACGTGGTACAGGAGGACGTGGAGCTGAGTGGACTTGCCGATGACTGGTATCAGCGGTGTCAAGATCGGCCTATGTGGAGGAGGCTCGTAAAGGATGCTACTGGGCAGTTGGAGGCATAAGTGGTTTTTTACCCTTTTATCTGGCAACAAAACTGACACCTTTTTTTACAAGGAGTCATGTTTATATTGACCACAATACCTGTGGCCGGAACGCAAACAAAAAACAACTCTGATAATGTATGCACTGTCCTTGAAATTGATTGGTCCACACCCGAGACAGCTTTCTTTAGAGCCTCGTCTCACATGGTGTTGGACCAGAAGACGCCAAAAGGCGCACAACTCAAAGACAATGCACCATCAGAGTATAAGAGCTCGGGGTAAGCATTTACAAATGAGGTTTCCAATGGTGCAGTTGGAGGCAGTCGCTCTCCAACAACAACGGAGGGCGGAGGAGCGACGCTCACAACAACGAGCGGAGCGCCGGGTGGCTAAAGCACAGCAGGTTGGCACAGTAGGGGGCAGTGAGGACCAGTGAGGCTGTGGAAGATTTGCGGGCGTGCTTAGACTGTACTGACTGGGATATGTTCACGACTGCTACCAATAGTCTGGATGAACTCACAGAGGCTGTGACGTCCTACATCAGCTTCTGTGAGGACTGCTGTATCCCAACACGTACCAGGGTGAACTTTAACAACAATAAGCCCTGGTTCTCAGCAAAGCTCAGAAGGTTGAGGTTGGAGAAGGAGGAAGCGTTTAGGAGTGGAGATAGAGACAGATTCAAGGAGTCGAAGTACAGGTTTAGCAAAGCGGTGAGAGAGGCTAAACGACTGTACTCAGAGAGACTAAAACACCAGTTATCTACAAACGACGCTGCTTCTGTCTGGAGAGGGCTCAGGCAGATCACCAACTACAAACCCAGAGCCCCCCACACCACTAACGACTCCCGCCTAGCCAACGACCTGAACGAGTTCTACTGTAGATTTGAAAGACAATTGGACTGTCCTGAACCACCCCTTCCAACCCAAGAGGCCCCATCCCCCACCAATACTACAGAGACGACTATCTCCTTTCAGGAGGGAGAAGTTAATAGACTTTTCAAGAGGCAGAATCCACGCAAAGCAGCCGGGCCGGACTCTGTCTCTCCAGCCACCCTCAGGCACTGCGCTGACCAGCTGTCTCCGGTGTTCACCAACATCTTTAACACCTCCCTGGAGACATGCCATGTACCAGCCTGTCTCAAGTCCTCCACCATCATCCCTGTGCCCAAAAAGCTAAGGCCAACAGGACTAAATGATTACAGACCGGTCGCCCTTACATCTGTGGTAATGAAGTCTTTTGAGCGCCTGGTCCTGGCACACCTCAAAGCCATCACAGACCCTCTCCTGGACCCCCTTCAGTTTGCCTACAGAGCCAACAGGTCTGTGGACAATGCAGTTAACATGGCCCTCCACTTCACCCTACAGCATCTGGACGCCCCAGCATCCTACGCCAGGATCCTGTTTGTGGACTTCAGCTCTGCCTTCAACACCATCATCCCTGCCCTGCTTCAGGACAAGCTCTTCCAGCTGAACGTGCCATACACCACCTGTAAATGGATCACAGACTTCCTGTCTGACAGGAAGCAGTGCATTAAGCTGGGAACACAAGTCTCTGGCTCCAGGTCCATCAGCACCGGAACTCCTCAGGGCTGCGTCCTTTCCCCTCTGCTCTTCTCCCTGTATACCAACAGCTGCACCTCCAATCATCTGTCCGTCAAACTATTGAAGTTTGCGGATGACACCACCCTCATTGGGCTGATCTCTGGTGGGGATGAGTCTGACTATAGGTGGGAAGCTGACAATCTGGTGACCTGGTGTAGCCAGAACAACTTAGAGCTAAATGCTCTAAAGACAGTTGAGATGGTTGTGGACTTCAGGAAGAATACAGCACCACTCACCCCCATCACCCTGTTAGACTCCCCAGTCAAAATTGTAGAGTCCTTCCGCTTCCTGGGCACTATTCTCTCCCGGGACCTCAAGTGGGAATTGAACATCAGCTCCCTCACCAAGAAAGCTCAACAGAGGATGTACTTTCTACGGCAGCTGAAGAAATTCAACCTGCCAAAGACAATGATGGTGCAATTCTATACAGCGATCATTGAATCCATCCTCACCTCCTCCATAACCGTCTGGTACGCTGCTGCCACTGCCAAGGACAAGAGCAGACTGCAGCGTATCATCCACACTGCTGAGAAGGTAATTGCCTGCAATCTACCGACCCTCGAGGACCTGCACACGACAAGGTCTATGAGGCGAGCGAGGAAGATTATGGCCGATTTCTCCCACCCTGGACACTCTCTGTTTCAGCTACTCCCCTCCGGCAGAAGGCTTCGGTCCATCAGGACCAAAACCTCACGCCATAAAAACAGTTTCTTCCCATCTGCTGCTGGCCTGTTAAACAAGGCCAAGGGCTAACACTGTTTTTAACATTTGATCTACATAACGACACGTTGCTGATATTAACTATGTTTCCCTATTTGTATTTTTAAATTATATCTTAAAGCTATTTTATATTCGATATTTATTTAATTTTATATACTTCAGCCCCTTAGTGTTAGACTTTTAACCCTTATTATAGTAAGACTTGTTTAAAACTTATTTAAGATTTTAGATTCCTATATGTTGAATGTATGCACCATCCTGCCAAAGTAAATTCCGTGTCAGTGTGAACTTACATGGCGAATAAAACCCTTTCTGATTTCTGTTCTGATTCTGATCAGCCAGTCATCTCAGTCAGTCGACCCGTGGCACCTGGGTCTGCCCCATGACCTCCTGCCAGCGGGCGTTCGACACTTCACGTGGCCTCAAGGTGCACATGGCCTGGCACAAGCGTCGTGGTGACGTCACCGCCACTTAGTGGCGAATGGCGGTTGTTGTGTATAGGTGTGTGTGTACAGGTGTGTACAGTTGTGTACAGGTGTGTACAGGTGTGTGTGTGTGTACTCACCTCCCTTACTGCCCACGCCCCTTCCCCCAACGTGGTCCAGGCCCACAGGAGTACTTCTTGACAACGGCCGTAACCGTGCCGACGCCACCCTGGCGCCACCCGCCACGCCGCCATTGGTCGATCGTGCCGCCGACGCCGCGCTCCCGTTGGTCAGCGACAAAGCTGCCGCCTCATTGGCCAAGCCCATGGTCCCGACGGCTGTGCCATTGGCCAACGTCAAAGCCGAATCCTTCGCCCCCGCGGCGTTCCCGCCCGTCGACGGCGAGGACGCCTCCCCGTTGGCCCAATCCGCTGCCTCCGAAGCGCTGCCGTCCGTCGACGGCAAAGCCGCGTCCCCGTCGGTCAGATCCATCGCCGCGTCGGCGTTCCCGCTCGCCGACCGAGCCGCGCCGCCCTCCCCGGGGAGCGAGGCGGCCGACGCCCGGTCGGCCGCCGGGGCCTCCCCGGCGCGGCCGCCGGGGGCGGCCCTGCCGGGCAGGAAGCTGGGCCTGGACGGGAGCACGGAGAAGCCCGGCGCCCCGAGCAGCACGCAGGAGAGGCGGCAACGCGGGGAGCGGCGCTCCGCGCGGGGGGCGGCCGGCGGCGGCGGCGACGGCGACGACGACGCGACTTGAGGAGGTGGAGGAGGAGGGGGGGGAGAGGAGGGGGATGGCGGTCGTGGAGTCCGGGAGAAGGGGGCCGGGAGGCACGGCGGAGAGAACGGAGAAAGCGGAGACGCGGAGAAGAAGGGAGGTGCGGGGAAGGCGGACGAAGACCCCGGAGGAGAAGAAGACCAGGCGGCGGTGGCGGCGGTGGTGGCGGTGGTGGTGGCGGCGGTGGCGGCGGGTGGCGGCGGTGGTGGCGGCGGTGGTGGCGGTGGTGGTGGCGGCAGTGGCGGTGGCGGCGGTCTCCAGGTTGGGACAGGAGCTCCACAGTGCCCACCGCCGCTGCTGCTGCTGCCTGTGGCTCTCACGCGCCACGCGCAGCGCGTAGTCGCTGTGCACGCCGCTGTTGGGCCGCGGCCGCCCCCCGGCCTCCGCCTCCTTGGTCGGCGAGCGCCTCTTGAGGGGGCGAGCGGCGGCCCCGGCGGGGGGTCCGGCGTCGCGCGACGGCCAGCGCCGCCGCTGCGTCGAGCGGGGGAAGCTGTCGGCGCTGCAGCTCAGCCGGCGACGGTCGCCCCCGGCAACGGTCCCGTCGCCGTGGCGACGGGCGGCCGCCGACTGCTCGTCGCCGCCGGTGACCGCGGTGTGGAGCCTCCCGCCCTCTCCACACACGTCCACGTCCATCGTGCAACTCTTACTGCTGCTGCTGCTGCTGCAAATTTTCCTGAAACTGTTGCTGCTACTGCTGCTGCAACTGCTGCAGCTGTTGCTGCTGCAACTGTTGCTGCAACTCCTGCAGCTGCTGCTAAGGGGCGCCGTCGTGGCAAGGGAATGTTACATCTCTCGCCGGGTATGCAGGAGGTGGTACGCTCGATCCCGACCCTGAAGATGCCTGTCTCTCTCTCTCTCTCTCTCCCCGTGGCGTCGGATTTTCCCCTCCGAATTTAGGGTCGACGTGGCCACGCGCTTAGACGCATTTGTCTCCTGCTACAAATGAATCATTTGGCGGGACCCCAGGGTCCTGCAAAAATCAGGTCAACAATAATAATAATTGTTGTTGTTGTTCAGTCCGCCCACTCGCGACCCCGACAGTAACGCGCCGCCCGCCCAGACTCACGCCGGCAGCGCCGGCGGGTGGCGATCGGCACGACGGGCGCCACCCCGCCGGACAAACGCGAGCCCCGGGGGGCGTCCGCCGCGGTCGCGGGCGGTGGCGGCGGCGGCGGCGGCGACGCCCTCCGGTCGGCCGGCGATCCTCGGCTTCTTTGGCGAGGCGAGCCGCCCGCCCCCCCACCAGGCGGTGAATTTGCCGAGTTCGTGTGAAGTTTCTACTTTTGACGAGGCTTCGTGCCCCGAGTAGCTCCCGACGAGGCCAATCGATCGACGCTGGTTTTGTCGTCGGTAAGGCAACGAGACTCCTGTCGCTACGCGGGGGTTCACACCACGGGGCCGTGATGGGAACCCGGGGTCCCGCCAATTGCTTCAAATGTCCACGCGACGATGACGACGATGACGAAGACGATGATGACGATGACGACGATGACGGCATCAGCCACTTCGTGTGAGCTGTCGTTTGTGATGGCAAAGGTCGCCCATGAAGGAAAATAAAAGCGACGTAGCTGCAGCCCGTTACCTGGTAACAATATAAATAGTTGAGAGTTGCTATTTTAGTTTATTTTAGTTGCTGCTGCTGCAAGCACATTTTGTTTCCGCGGCCGGGCGGGCAAGTGGGCAAGTCCAACCCACAGCAAACTCCTCTCGCTCCTCCCCCTCGCCACGACGCGCAATACGGAGCCCGGAGCGGGAATCCGGAGAGGAATCCGGAGCGGGAATCCGGAGAGGAGCCCGGAGCGGGAATCCGGAGAGGAGCCCGGAGCGGGAATCCGGAGCGGGAATCCGGAGAGGAGTCCGGAGCGGGAATCCGGAGCGGGAATCCGGAGCGGGAATCCGGAGAGGAATCCGGAGCGGGAATCCGGAGCGGGAATCCGGAGAGAAGTCCGTAGCGGGAATCCGTAGCGGGAATCCGTAGCGGGAATCCGGAGCAGGAATCCGGAGCGGGAATCCGGAGAGAAGTCCGGAGCGGGAATCCGAAGCGGGAATCCGGAGCGGCGTGGTCAGGCCCCTCTCTCCGGCCGGCGCTCCGTGCTCCATGTGCCTGCGACCCAGCCTGTAGGGGCACGTGCTGTGAGCGGGCGACACTGTGGCACACGAGGGGGTGGGTGGCCAGCAACCAGTGGCGTCATTTGAGGCCGAGTCGACCTAGGGGAGGCCCAGGACCCGGCTCAGATAACGGTCACTGCTGTGTGTGATCCACCAACCCTTCCCATAGGCCACCCACGTGCTGCACCGCCAACATCCAGCCACCACCTGGCTGCCCAACGACGACTTTGGGAGGCTTGCAAATCTCTGTGCGATCCACCGACCCCGCTCTCTTCGCCCCACACCATCCCACCGGATTCACACCGTTGGTGCCGCGTGTGGCTCACGGGACGCGCCGATTCCACGTTGCCGCGGCGGGATCAAGTCCATCCACATGCCACGCGAGGACTTCCCCCTCGAACTCGCTCGACACGTCACTGCTGTCTCTAGCACGTTGTGTGCATGTGTGTGGGGGTGTGTGTGGGTGTGTGTGTGTGGTGTGTGTGTCGTGTGTGTTTGTGTGTGTGTGGGAGTGTGTGTGTGTGGGGTGTGTGGGGGTGTGTGTGTGTGTGTGTGGTGTGTGTGTGTGTGTGTGCGTGGGTGTATGTGTGTGCGTGGGTGTGTGTGTGTGGGGGGGTGTGTGTGTGTGTGGGGGTGTGTGTGCGTGTGTGTGGGAGTGTGTGTGTGTGGGTGTGTGTGTGTGTGTGGCTGTGTGCGTGTTCGGGTGTGTGGGAAACTACCGCAACCACCCCTATTAACTACCGCAACCACCCCTAGTAACTACCACAACCACCCCCTAGTAACTACCACAACCACCCCCTAGCAACTACCACAACCACCCCTAGTAACTACCACAACCACCCCTAGTAACTACCACAACCACCCCCTAGCAACTACCACAACCACACCCTAGTAACTACCACAACCACCCCCTAGCAACTACCACAACCACCCCTAGTAACTACCACAACCACCCCTAGCAACTACCACAACCACCCCCTAGTAACTACCACAACCACCCCGAGTAACTACCATAACCACCCCTAGTAACTACCACAACCACGCATAGTAACTACCACAACCACCCCTAGCAACTACCACAACCACCCCCTAGTAACTACCACAACCACCCCGAGTAACTACCACAACCACCCCTAGTAACTACCACAACCACCCCCTAGTAACTACCACAACCACCCCCTAGTAACTACCACAACCACCCCTAGTAACTACCACAACCACCCCCTAGTAACTACCACAACCACCCCCTAGCAACTACCACAACCACCCCCTAGTAACTACCACAACCACACCCTAGCAACTACCACAACCACACCCTAGTAACTACCACAACCACCCCCTAGTAACTACCACAACCACCCCTAGCAACTACCACAACCACGCCTAGTAACTACCACAACCACCCCCTAGTAACTACCACAACCACCCCCTAGTAACTACCACAACCACCGCTTACCCATCCACGTAGGCAGCTCCGTGTCTCCCGCACGGTCGGTCACGAACGACAACTACAACAACCCAAAGACAACAACAACCACAACCACCGCCGCCATCGCCACCATCGCCCCAGCTACACCTGGAGACTGGCGACAGGCGCGCCGCGGACACCCCCACAGCAGGCGGGCACGTGAGGACCCCAAAACCTCCTCCTGCTGCTCCCCCCCCACCTCCTCCCCTCGCTTTTATCGCAGGCCCGCGCCCTGGACACCTAAGCCCAGGTCCCACCCTCGGCGTAGCGAAGGACCCCTGTTGCTAGGCGACGCCAAACAATCGACGTTGCCGTGGCAACCACTTTTATTTTTACGTCTAAATATAAGCGAATCGATTAAAGCCGCTTTATCAGAATCTAAAAAACTCGCAACAATTATAATTAATTCACTACGAGATATGTTTCATGATTTAGACGACGAACCATCAATAGCCATCGGTAATATAAATTACTATATAACCAGGTTAATATTTATTAACGCTAACAATGATTAATAGGGGGCGATCATTCATATTAATATACATTATATAATCAAAAGGCGTCATCTGGTCCAACACCAGTGGAGACTAAGGGCTCTAAAAAAAGCCGTCTCTGGTGTGGACCAATCAATTTCAAGGACAGTGCCAATATCTTTATCAGAGTGGTCTATTTTTGTTTGCATTTTGACTGCTTGTGTTGTGGTTATTGCAAACATGATCACTTGTATAAAGGTGTCAGTTTTGGTGCCAGATAAAAGGGTAAACACCTATTACTATATATTAATATTTTTTATTATTGTTACGGCCATCGTGAACTCCCTGAGACCCAGGGCTTGAACCTTGAACCCAGTAACTCAGTGGCTATGACACGGCCATCGTGAACCCCCTGAGACCCAGACCCAGGGCTTGAACCTTGAACCCAGTAACTCAGTGGCTATGACACGGCCATCGTGAACCCCCAGAGACCCAGACCCAGGGCTTGAACCTTGAACCCAGGAACTGTGGCCTTGACACGGCCATCGTGAACCCCCTGAGAGACAGACCCAGGGCTTGAACCTTGAACCCAGGAACTCAGTGGCTATAACACGGCCATCGTGAATCCCCTGAGACCCAGGGCTTGAACCTTGAACCCAGAAACTCAGTGGCCTTGACACGGCCATCGTGAACCCCCTGAGACCCAGGGCTTGAACCTTGAACCTTGAACCCAGGAACTCAGTGGCCTTGACACGGCCATCGTGAACCCCCTGAGAGACAGACCCAGGGCTTGAACCTTGAACCCAGTAACTCAGTGGCCTTGACACGGCCATCGTGAACCCCCTGAGATCCAGACCCAGGGCTTGAACCTAGAACCCAGTAACTCAGTGGCCTTGACACGGCCATCGTGAACCCCCTGAGACCCAGACCCAGGGCTTGAACCTTGAACCCAGGAACTCAGTGGCCTTGACACGGCCATCGTGAACCCCCTGAGACCCAGACCCAGGGCTTGAACCTTGAACCCAGGAACTCAGTGGCCTTGACACGGCCATCGTGAACCCCCTGAGACCCAGGGCTTGAACCTTGAACCCAGTAACTCAGTGGCTATGACACGGCCATCGTGAACCCCCTGAGACCCAGACCCAGGGCTTGAACCTAGAACCCAGTAACTCAGTGGCCTTGACACGGCCATCGTGAACCCCCTGAGACCCAGACCCAGGGCTTGAACCTTGAACCCAGTAACTCAGTGGCCTTGACACGGCCAACGTGAACCCCCTGAGACACCCAGACCCAGGGCTTGAACCTCGAACCCAGGAACTCAGTGGCCTTGACACGGCCATCGTGAACCCCCTGAGACCCAGGGCTTGAACCTTGAACCCAGTAACTCAGTGGCTATGACACGGCCATCGTGAACTCCCTGAGACCCAGACCCAGGGCTTGAACCTTGAACCCGGGATATCAACCTCAAACGTCGTACCTGGTGCGGTGTGTAAAACCATCGCCACTGGGGAGACAAAGGCGGCCAGGCGCTGTGTTGGCCACCCGCCCGCAACTGGACATCTGTAAATGAAGAGCTTCATCGCTCATCGGATTCCTCGGGTATAAAATATTCTGATTGTGTGCGCCACTGTGCCGACCTTCATAGGCGGTGCTGCTGATTCTCGCCCACAGTACTTGCCGCAAACAATTCTGCTTCAGCTTATACGGGCTGGGTACTGAACATCTCCTAGCCACACACATAAACAGCAGCAGCAGCAGGCGTCAGGATCGGGATGAAACCCACGACCACCTGCGTACCAGGCGAGGTAGTTAACATCTCGTCACACAAATATACAGCAGGCATCGTCAGGGTCGGGATGGAACCCACGACCTCCTGTGTACCAGGCGAGGTAGTTAACATCTCCTAGCCACACGCAAACAGCAGCAGCAGGTTTCGTCAGGGTCGGGAGCGAACCCACGACCTCATGTGTACCAGGCGAGGTAGTCAACATCTCCTAGCCACACAAATATACAGCAGCAGGCGTCTTCAGGGTCGGGATGGAACCCTGCCGATGCCACTGTGCCGACCTTTATAGGAGTGGCTGCTGCTGCTGTTGCTGCTGTTGCCGATTCTCGCCCACAGCACTTGCGTCAAACAATGCCTTTCTCACCAGGAGATGAAAATGACGAAGTCCCTTCAACATTTTCACGACGAACCTCCTGGCGGCGATTCTGAGCGCGGTCCGGTGAGGCCGGTCGGGGCGTGCTTGCATTGCCAGATTATCCCAGGGGCAGAAGTTGCAACAAATGTTCCGGGCACCGCACTAAATGCATTCAAACGATCAATTACCGGTTCAGTGATTCTGCACTTGCTCTATGACTATAGTACTATACTGCCCTTCAACTTTTACGAACGACCGAGGGGGTGTGTTAAGGTTGGCGATTTGTCGAATTATCTGGGCTGTATAGCAAATGAAAAAATACAATTACTTTTCTGTGCAAGTTCGACATTTGTGAGAAGAGATTTCCCCCCCTTTTTTTCTGGCAGCAAAACAGCCGCGTTGAGACGTTAAGACGCCAAAACTGAAACCTTTTAACGAGGAATCACGTCCGCAATTAGCCACAATACTTGTGGTCAGAATACAAACAACTCTCACTCTGATAATATGATGATGCATTGTCTTTGAAAAGGATTGGTCCACACCAAAATTTGTGTTTCATATTGATGTGTTTTTTTTTAAATATTACGGCCACTTTATAACATTTGCTACAGACGCTTCG